TGGGGGCAGGAACACAATAAAACATAGGCAATTCTGCATGTCTCTCCCCAGTCAGCTGTGGGGCTGGGGGTTGTGGTTGTGGCAGGGAACCTGTACACAGTTTGAGAATTCCTGTGCAAGACTTTCTCCCCCCCCCCCCCTCTCTGGCCTCACCCTGTACACCAGTCCTGAGTCTCCTACTGTTTCTAGTACAATGTGAGGTTCGGGGTCCCAACCTCCATGCAGCTTCCCTTGGCCCTGTCTGTTCCGATTTCGAACACACACCCGCTCACCAGTCAACAAAGGGGTAGCATTAGCTTTCTGGTCATAGCGGCGACCCCATACAGATCACATAGCTGTTTCTGTCTGATCCAAAATTGTGACCCTGATCAGAATGGAACCAAACAGAGCAGCCAAACGTCTGTATTATTTGGGACCGTTCTGTGGTTTTGGCTGTCTGATCGCGAGTGGGCATAGCCCAGGCGCAGCGAGTGAACAAGTCTGTCATGACCAGAATATTTTTATACGAGTCGCTGGGTCTACTGAGAGAGAGAAAGTCAAGGGCTATTACCTCTAAATGGTACGTAACAGCAACTGGGTATAAGGGAGCTCTTGGATCTGCCCTGTCTTTCTGCAAGCTGCAAACAAAACACCCAGACTGGAAACCCAGAACCTCTTTCTCCATGTCGATCCATAAGAAGCAGAGTCTCGGGGTGGTCAACGTCCTCCCTGCCCCGGCATGTGCCGCGGCCTCGTGGTGCGGTCTCCATACATCTTGTTGCTTTGGACCTGGGCACACGATCTGGAACATTTGCTCATGAGTGTTAGGTTCAATGAATCTGCGACACAGAACTCTTTCCCGGACACAGAGCCTCTTGTATTGTTTTAACAGTCTAACAGTGCCAGCTGTGAGAGTGCTCCGTTCAGCACCATGGGGACAGGAGCCTTGCTCCACATACCTTTTTACAGCCTGAAAGTCAGGGTCGGCCTGTTGCTTGACCACCCAGCCGTTACCCAGTAACAGGAAGTCCTCCTCCTGTTCCACTGCTGCTGATGTTATTGCGACTGCAGTGCTGGTCGTCAGCTGCTCTGGTGTGGGGCAAGCTGCAGGGAACCGGGAGAGGGCGTCTGCGTTGCGGCGAGATACTTCACCTCAAAGCTGAAGTATGCCAGCTGGGCTACCCAGCGCTGCTCCACTGCACCCAACCTGGCAGACTGTAAATGAGCAACAGGGTTATTGTCCGTATACACAATGAACTCAGCTCCCATCAGGTAATCTTTGAATTTCTCTGTAATTGCTCAATTTTAATGTAATTGCTGTAATTTTAGCACTAGCAGTTCCAACTTAAACAAGCTGTAGTTGGCATCGTTGCGCTCTGTGGGATGTAAACTCCGGCTGGCATAACCAATTACTCGCTCCTTACCTTCCTGGACCTGAGCCAACACTGCTCCCAACCCTTGGTGGCTGGCATCTGTGTAGAGAATAAATGGCTTGGAAAAATCAGCATTGGCTAGCATGGGAGCCTCAGTTAGTGTCCTCTTTAGGTTATCAAAGGCAGCTTGGGCCTCAGCTGACCAACTTAAGGGGCGGGAGCCTAGGCGCTTGTCATTTAGTATGCCAATCAAAAGTGAATTTAGTGGTCGTGCAACTTAGCAAACCCGGGGACAAACTGTCTATAATACCCAGCAAGGCCCAAGAAGGCTTTCAACTCCTTGGCTGTAGTGGGAGCAGGCCAATCAACAACAGCGGATACCTTTTCTGGGTCTGGCATGACCCCCCTGTGGTCCACTTCATGCCCCAGGAATTTCACTTGCCATTGAAAGAGTTTGCATTTGTCGGGACAAAGCTTCAGGCCGTGCCTCCATAGGCATTCAAACACCTTTTAATGGTCAACATGAATTATTCTTCTGGATATATATGTCATTATTTTCTAATATGTGCATTATAATTAAGATTTATGATGGTGCAAACTGAGAACTGCGGTTTCAAATAATAATAACAAAAATAACATAGTGGTGTAAACTGCTGGCCCTAACAGAGGCCTGGATATATCTCCCCCTCCTATATTTTCCACATTGTTCCATCTGCTCATTTAACTATTCTATCTGATGACTTACACAAGGTGTGAAGATAACACATCTTGTAGGAGGACACTCAAGGATACAGCTCATGAATCCAAAACACAGAGAGATGGTGAGGGAGTGCGGACAGACGGACACACATACCTAGATAGACATATAGAAAGATGAGTGATATTAGAAGTATGATTCATGAGCTGGGGGACACCCATTCCTTTGCATGCATTCATCTTTTAGACAGTAATGAAATGATAAAAATTTGCATCGAATCCTTCCCTTAGCGCTCCTCAACTTTTTAGCGAGTCTGTCACATGGTGTTGCACAGCGCGAGGAATATTAGAAGAGGAGGTAAAATACTTCAAAGTCACTGATGAATGTTGCATGTCTGAAGGACAATGCTAAATGAAGCTGGAGTGTAACTAAGAGGGACATCTTTGAAGATCTCGGTCTGCGCTCCTGCTTTCATTCTCAGCTCGTTTATTCTGAAAGAGTGAGTCAGGGTCCAACCCCGTCCATTAAAAACTCCTTTTACAATCAGTTCTCCTGACACAAAATGAGACGTCCACTGTGTGAGAGAAAAAAATGGCACCTTCTCACAAATGATAGATAGCATAATAATGATTTTTAAAGAATGGCAGTTACCTTAAGTCCAAGGTGGAAAATTTACACTCACACACACTGTGCCTCTATTGAACTTATCAATCAATCTTAGGCCTAATTTGACAGACCTGTCAAAGACCTGACAGATTTCTAGTTGCCATTCAGTTCTCAGGAGGTTGTTGATTCCTATCGTAGGTATTGACAATTTCTGTGACTCTATCATCTTTTGCGTTGCTGGAGCCAGGGCAATGGATAATTTTGTTGGTTTGTTGATACATCTGTCCATCCCGCGGATAAACAACAACAGCAAGAACACAATAACTACAGAACACACCCCATAGATCCCGTAAAGGTGTCTTCAGACTAAAGTGAAGGGAGAGGCATAGAGTGATTGCATTTAAAGTCAATGCAATGATGCAAGTGGTTGTAAACAGCATAAGTCATTTCAGCCAGTGCCTTGAAATGATATAGTATGTTTGCCTTCAAGTGACAAAGCCCTCCAGCAGCTGTAGGAATTATGACTCTTTGTGAGGAAAGGAGAAATTATGTGTCATTGTTATAGAGTAACAAAGTCTTCAGAGGGAGGAGGGCAGGGTGAGTGGAAAGGACAAAAAAAAAGGAACTTTATCTCAAGAGACCACTGTTCGGTTCCTGTTTCGTACTGACAGTCATTCCCTGACCTTTACCCAGGAGTTACTTATACTCAATCCCCCTTCTTTTCCTGAGACATATTTGGGCCTAAACTATTGACTATACAGAAAGACAACTGCACATCTGGACGCCCCCTGGTGGCTGGCTGAAGTGTAAGTCATAAACCCTATCCCTTCAATGTAAGCGAATAGGACATGGGCCAAACTGAAAAATCAAAGTAAACGTGAAATAGATTTTTTCCAAATATGATTTTTGTTATTTAAGGTAGTTTTTTTAGAGAGGATCGAGGCCAGTCAGCTCGCGGCAGAATTATCCACAAACTTATAATTTAAGAGTCATATTTGTAGCCATACTTAATATATTGAAACGTGAGTGGTCGATGAACATCTCTAGCTGAGAAATGCAGACAAACCCGACCGCAAAAGCGCCGGTCCAGAGAACTACTAGCCAGCAAGTCGACGGCGGAGCTACTGCTAAAGATGGCGAGGTAGCAGGAGCTAACCTTGTAGCTGCGGAAGCGGCGGAGACTACGGCTAAAGTTGCAGCCGTCATGGGAGAGAATATGTCCATGATTTCCAACAAACCGGATATCATTACGGGGCTTCAACGATGTGTGCCAAAAGCTGATTTCCAAGAACGTCAGGTTCAGGATGCAATACCTGGCGATCCTCCGCTTCACCTACAACAACAAGGATTTGACACAGCTGAGGAGGCTGCTCACATTATTGGGGCAATGGAAACGGTTCCGTGAGTACTGTGAAGAGTTACAGCAGCGTACGCTGATCGGGGTGGTTTGGTGCACAAGTAAACTTATATAACATTATGTTTAACGTAGGTGTTCTCTATTAAGGTGAATCTATATGCCCCCCCGTGTGCACAGCGCCCTATGGGCTGCTACACACAAGCTGACTTTGTGATGTACTGGCTACACATAAGGTGACTTTATATTGGGGGTTCGAGTCGGGAGCGAGAGGGTGTCATGACGGCTGCGTTTCACGGAGAACAACTGTGGACCATGGTCAAGTACGCTCACAACGCACGTTGTTTCCTCCCAGCTCCAAGGGACCCTTTGTTTTGTATCCCTGAGAGGACTGTTCATGTTGCGTCCAAAGGGACACGTTCGTTTCAGCTGAGTGTGTTCAATGACGAGTACACGTTCCTAGTACTTGTGTTGTTTGAAGATAAGTTTAAAGAGAGTGAGTTAGGTCTGGGACCCACTTTTTCCAATTTTTTAAATTTTCTTAATTTCCTTATCTTAGTTCTCTTTTTTTCTCTGTTTTAAGTGGTAAATGTGCTAAATGTACTGTATTAAGTGTTTACTCCTGTTGTTATGTCGCAGTGTCCATATGTGTTTTTCTCTGTTCTTCGTGTCTATGTATGCATGTAAAAAACGGGTGTAAATTTTTTTTTAAGAAAAAAAAATTTTTTTTTTTTTTTCTTTTAAAGGGTTTTTTTTTATCCTTTTTTAAAATATTTATTTTTTTCCCCTGGGTTCTTATTTTATTTTTTTGACCTGTTTTGGTCAAAATACCATAAGGATGAAGCACAATAGCAGTTCAATCACCCTGCCAAAACAGCCCTGTTCAGAACGGTAGGATTTGAGTGCCTGTCTCTTTAAATGCAAATGAGACACAGGCAATCCACCCACTTCTTCCGGGAGGTGTGCCGACGCGGCACGCTTCTACCATGACAACAGTTGAACGTGAACCCTGGGAGAAAGATGGCAGCTGGAAGAAACTTTTCGGTCCAACCTTATATGTTTGAACCAGAGTCAGACCCTGAACAAGAAGGAGCTAGCGAAGAAGTTGTTCAATGTAGACTGCAACAAGACGTTTCTGAATGGTGAGTTATGAGCTTTATTTTACTTTTTTCTTAAAAATGTGTATGTTTGTACGTCGGGTAAATACGGTCGCTGACTAAATACAGTCGACCGCTGGCCGCTGTTTGTGTAACTCACTGCTAATAAAAATCTAGATTTCTGTTAATTGAGTAAACATAAGTAGCATGCTATTCCCGCTACACGAGTACACTTCACAAGTCCGCAATATCAGCTACGAGTGGGAATATAGCACTCGTTTTTTTATTCTCAGCTACGCCGTAATAACGTTAACAGTTACATCATTATTCTGTCCGACATCAAACGTTAATGTACTATCCACAGACACACTGTAGCCACTTTTCACGCGTGTGTGCTAATTTTACAACCTAGGTGTGAAACGAGGGATGTAGTGGGGGTTGGGGCGACTGTCTACCAGCGCCGTATACCCCATAGTAATTCCTGTTTACCCGTATTTACTGTGTTTCAACATGATGCAATAATTCCAACTAATAACGTCACATCGTTGCATAAGCTGACCTGTCGTTATTGCTAACAACATATTCAAATAAAAAACTATAACTGATATCTTTTCCCTTTTTTTGCCTCTGGTTTAGGTGTACTTGTGAGAATTGCACAACAATGCCTACAGAGCCAGAGAATGTCTGCTGCAGGGAGATACCACAGGTAGTACATGGATGCTTGTTGAATGAAAATGTAACTATTCAGTCATATTATCTGTCATCAAACGTCACTTACCCTTTCAAATTTACAGGCGATAAGAAGACTAAATCAGCTTCAAAACCCACCTTCCTGCATGGTAGACCACCCTGGCCTCGAACCAGTGTGTTTAAATCCATTCTCACTGCAGAAGGAACTAAATATCTACAGAGCAGACTATGGGCGTTTACGTCTAAGGGGAATAGAACAGTAAGGTTTTTTTGCATATAAATTCTGTGTAATTGTAATAAAAATATTCCAAAAACAATTCCATTTTCCCCTTTGTTAGATTGCTTACTTTTCTTGTAAGGCAGTTTGATAATTGTTAAAATGTTACATATCAAACACTAGAAAAGATTAATTTCTGCACAAAATCTAACTTGCAATAACATAATTTATTACATTTAAACCTAGGTCCAACACCAATTTGCTGCTAATAAATGGTTGTATTGGCATTTTGATATTGTGCAGGAATTTATCTTTCATACTTTTGGATACTCATCCCACTCCTAAGAACCTGTCTCTTGATGACCATAATGTTTATGTCCACATATCAAACACTGAAAGTACAAAAAACAGCTTATACATTTTTATTTTTATAAATACAAGTACAGCAAACAACTGTTCAAAAAATACGTATTACAAATATTTACAAAAAAATGTGGCTAATCATAAATTATGTCTAAATATAAATGTAAAACTAAATATATCTGTACTCTGTTCAGCCGTTACAGGTACTTGGCCTATAGGGGCTTTGTGAGCTGGTGTTGGGGCTTTCTGGGCCGAAGAGTTCGTGTGGCACTGCCCAGCTGTGTGGTGCTGCGTATACGGGCGGAGTTCCCCGACGCTCAAGGCATCTACGTGGGGTTCAGACCGGCCCTTGACTGAACCTCGTCACGTAGCGGTCTATCACCTCCTTCTTGTCCGGCCTTTCGAACTGTGCAGTGAGATCCTCAGGAATGGAGATCTTCAACACCTCATCTGTGTATGGACCAGGGTCCGGAAAAACCTTCTCAAACACCAGGTCCAAGATTTCATCCACGTAATCTGCAACAAGAAAAAGTACAATATTGTGTTTACTTTATAGTGTTTATTTATTATTTATTAAAAACACAGAAAAAGCCATAGACACTGGTTAATTTATATTTTATTTATTTTGCAAATATTTTATAGTTTCATTTTTCAGTGTGATTTTCAATAAAAAGGTTTAAATCTTACGGAAGGTTGGTTGCTCCTTCACTGGCTTTGCTCTGCATTCTCCTTTCTTCCACTTTGGAAAATGAAGCCTGAACAGCGGCTCACCAGCTGAGGTTGTTGCCTGTGGACGGTCTGCATTTTCATTGAAGTGCAGGGCTGCCAGGTATAGTCTTGGGAGGAAAAATAATAAAAGAAAGATTTACACATATAGCTCCATACCTGGCTTAATTTGGTGTGGCTGTCTGTGCATACGAATAATTGTAATAAAAAAAAAAAACCTTTTTTTTTTTTACTATATTTTAAAAAAAAGAAAAATTTTTTTTTTTGGGGGGGGGGGGGGGGTTGGTGGTTTAAAAATTTTAGGGTTGGGGTTTTGTGTTGGGGGCCCAGCTTCCCCCCATCTTTGAGGACCCTCTTGTTGCTCAGCACTTTCTCCAACCTGCAGAAGGCTGGTGTTCCTGTGAAGAAGAAGAAAGTGTTTAATAATCTCGTTATAAAGAGTAATTCTTTAAAATTTTTTTTTTTTTTTTTTTTTTTTTTTCATTTTTTTTTTTTTTTTTTTGGTGGGGGGGTTTGATGAAAAAAGGGGGGAAAAAGTTTTTTTTGTTGTTGGTGTTTCCGGGGGTTGTTTAAAAAGGTCATCCTTTTTTTTTTTTTCTCTGGCCCCTGTTGGAGGGAAAGGGGCCCCTTTTGTGTTTGTTTTTTTTATTCTGAAGCCCTTTTTTTATTTTCTCCCCCTCCTTGTTCTGTGAGATCTTCGACAGTTTCTTGGACAGTCCTAATAATACAAAAAGCTTTAAAGTCTTTCACATATATCAATTACATCAATTAACATAGCAGAAATGATATAGCTTACAGTCTAAATTGAAATAATAATAGGCTACACATCAATAACTGTCAGTGTAACAATAAAGGAACTACACTTATCATAAATAAACTTTTTTCCCCTCTCAATATTGACAAATAAGACACGGAATAATACCTTTTTCCATGTGCCATACATCGTAGTAATGCGTGACATCGGCCTCCCTCAGGAACTTCTGGATTTGGGGGTGACGGTCCGTCATAATACTATCTATAGTAACACCCCGTTCCTCCAACAGAGCAAGGCTCCTCTTCAGGCCCTCTTTCTCCATGTGGTAGCTTCCACCAACCTCATTACTCTATTATTTAAGAAAGCAGATAAAAATGTATTATTTCAGCTGATAAGAGCTACACTGTAACAGATTACAACAGAGATTATTTATGGTCTGTCACTCACTTGAACCAGCTGTAAATCAATAACAGTGTTGCTCCTCATGTCCATCATTGTGTAGCTGCCAAACTTGGCACAATGTCCTTCAAAAGTAAAGTAATTATTTTTTATATATACATTACATAGTATTTATCAGTGTGTTTTATTTATATATATATAAAAAAGATTATTATGACAGAGTATTACATACCTGGTGAGTCTGCTCTCAAGTCACCACCGAGGACGACATTCTGCTGCTGACTGAGCTGCTCCAACATTGCAGTCTGTGCCGTCTTCCACCTGTGTACAATCGCGGGCTCTATGTACATCCGAGCATGCCTTCGAAATGAGTCATATTGAAACATCTTCAACTGCATTGCCCGGAAGATCTGTGGGAGAAAGAAACAGACAGGACAGGCACCCACACGTTAATCACTTTTTCAGAAATACACATTGTGTATATAAATTTAGCTACATCATATGCTATATTCCATTACTTTATTCATAGTTTAGTGTAAATACAATACCTTTTCAAGCTTAAAGAAAGAGGCACCAGTGGCGTACACTGCAGTGGAGAGCTGCAGGTTCCCAGCAGGAGTGCTCCCAACAAGAGGCTGGCTGTTCCACTTTCTGTAGAACTCACAATGCGGGCACCGCTGTTCTACAGAGAGAAACGTGCCCAATCTTCTTTTCTGCATGTCACATTCCCGCTGACACACAGGGCACACCTGAAACAGCTCCATTAGGCAGTTCTCATACACAATATAAGTTGGAGTCTTATGGACAGGCGTAGAAGATTCCATTCTGCAATAAACACAAAACATTGACAGAAAATGAGTCAAAGATCGTCCTAGTAGAGCTACAATAAGTAGAGGAATGTAACACAAATGATTAGTTAAATGTTTAGGTAACTCACGTCACATCTGCTGACTCAGTCAAGGTTGTGGCAGAGTCTGCAGGGTCATAAGTTAAAAATTTTGGTCCCTCTACGTCAACAGAACTGCCTTCTAAAGGGTTCTCCTCTTCCTCCTCCTCCAGTTCCAAGCGACGTCTCTTACTTGGTCTCTTTATAGGTGTTGATGTAAGAGCTGAGGTGCCAACACCAACATCAGTGCAGGAAACAGTTTTCTGTGTGCCTTAAAAACAGACAGATGATGTTATTGTTTATGCAGAATTCTAAAATGATAAGCAATCATATTGTTACTCATTAACAGAACACAAACAGAAGAAATCACATCAACGAATGAAGTAACTTTTGGTCAACTAACCTGTACTTCTGAAATGAGGTTGGAGAGTCTTCATTGAAAGCTGAGTTCCAAATGAGCGTGTTGTTGGTGGGTCTGTCTGGCATGCCACATGATGTACCCTATCCAGCAGTCCAGATGTGCTTGCCTAAACACAAAGAGCAGTGATATTTATACTCAGAAAATACAGTAAAAGCAAATAACTGTCTCTTGGTTGATCTATTTGTTTCTTGTGATTTTATCCGCAGATTAACAATGACTGTCAGCTGCTAGCTAACTAGCTTTTCACATTGAACAATAGCGTCCTGTTATTGTGCCCAGCTAGTTCAGTTTAAAACAGACACTGTACTGTAGCTCTCCACAAAGTGTGTTGTGCGACAGTAATCATCAACCATGATGAACACAGTGCGCCATATATGACGTTAGTTCTAGCCTCGATGCAAGTTCTTAGTAGTCAGTAATACCTGGAACTGTCTCAGTCTTACTGGAGATATCACATTATAGTACCCGCTATTCTGAATTAGCTCGGTTCTTTTTTTTTTTTTTTTTTTTTTTTTTTTTTTGGTTGAGACAAAAAAAAAAAACATAAAAAAATAATTACTTTAATTTATATAATATTTTTTTTTTTATTTTTTTATTTTTTACTTTTTTATTATTTTTTTTTTAAAGAAAAAAAGAAATAAGTTGTTGGGGTGTTGTTTTTTTTTTTTTTTTTGTTTTTTGTTTGTTTTGTTGGGTGGTGGGGTCACCTTACTTTTTTATTATTCTAACAACAAAAAAAAAAAAAATAATAATTATTTATAAATAAAAAAAATTTAAAAAAAAAAAAAAAAAAAAAAAAAAAAAGGTTTTTAAAACTAAAACCACCCCCCCTAAAACAAACCACACCCCCCCCGGGACGGGGGGGGGGGGGGGGGGGGGGGGGGGGGGGGGGGGGGAATTTAATTATATTTATTTTTAATAATTTATTTTTTATAAAAAAAAAAAAAGAAAAAAGGGAAAAAAAAGAACCACATCAACCTTAAGATTTAAATTAAATTAATTATAATTTTTAAATTTTATAAAAAAAAAAAATTAAATAATTTTCTTTCCAGCCCCACCCGCTAACAATTATATTAAATAATTAATAAAAAAAAAAAAAAAAAAAAAAAATTAAAAAAAAAAAAAAAATTTTTAATTTTTTTTTTTTTTTGTTTTTTTTGGTTTTTTTGGTTCTTTTTCCCTTTTACTTTTTTTTTTTAGCGGTTTTGGGGTGTGCCCGGTACTTTATTTAATAAAGATTTTAAAAGAGTTAGTTGAGAACAAACTATTACCCCCTACCAACTTTTTTTCATTAATATTATTTATAAATAAAATAAATAAAATTTATTTTTTTTTTTTTGGGGGGTGGGGGGGGGGGTGTTTTTTTTTTTTGTTTGGTGCCTTCCAAAACAAATATTTTTTTTTTTTTTTTTTTTTTTTCTTTTCTCTCTCTCTCCCGGGGGGGGGGGGGGGGGGGGGAGGGGGGGAGGAGGGAGAGGGAGGGGGGGGGGGGGGGAGGGGGGGGGGAAGAGGTAGGTAAAAATATAAAAATGAGAAGGAGTGTTTCACAAAAAAAAAAAACCTCTTTTTTTTTTTTTTTTTCCCTCTTTTTTTCTAAAGGGGGCCCCCCAAAAAAAAATTAGTATTTTTTTTTTTAAATTTTTTCCTCTTGTTGGCCCCCCCTTTCCCAAATATTTATAAAAAAAAATATAAAAAAGTTGGTTTTGCATAATATGTCCCCTTTAACATAAAGGGAATAAATAATGCTGTTAAACGGAAGAAACTATTATGCTGGCTAAAGAAGGAAAAAGCTAACATAGTCCTGTCACAAGAAACCCATTTGGATGACAAGGAACATGAAAAACTTAAGAGAGAATGGGTGGGACAAATTTATTACTCATCATTTTCTACAAGTAAGAGAGGGGTGGCCTCCTAATAAATAAAAACACTCTGTTTACTTTAGAAAAGTCTGTTAAAGATTGTCAAGGTCGATATATGATTATTACAGGATTCTTATATGGGGAACATATAATGATTGGGTGTGTATATGCTCCAAATGTGTACCAAGAAGAATTCTACTCTAAATTGTTAGCTGATGTCTCTGCAATGTCTGCAATATTCATTATACTTGCAGGAGACTTTAACTGTGTTATGAACCCTGATGTAGACCAACGCCCCCTGACTAAAGTCACGTCTAAAATGAGGGAGGCCACTAGAGGGCTATGTGTAGACTTACAGTTGTTTGATGCTTGGAGAATTCTCCACCCTAGAGGGAGAGATTATAAATTTTTTTCACATCCACACCAAAGTTTTTCCCGAATAGATTATTTCTTTGTCTCAAGGATGGTGTTAGATAGAGTGGAGGAATGTACTAAAGGTACCTGTCTACTATCAGACCATGCAGATACGCCCAATATAGTTTCTCCCTCCTCCCCCAACCCACACCACGCTACTGGCAACTAAATCCCTCGCTTTTTAATAGTCCCTCATTTGTGACCTTTATGGAAGAACAAATTAATATTTTTCTTTCAACTAATGATAACAGTGATACCAATCCATCAATACTTTGGGATACGCTCAAGGCTTACTTGAGGGGAGCCATAATTTCATATAGCACATCCCGGAAAAGGGAAGCTTTGAGAGAGCAGCTGAATTTAGAGAGACAATCGGCTGATCTTGATAAACAACTAAAGGATAATTACTCTGCAACCCTGTTCAAAAAAGCAGAAGCCACATGGTCAGCTCTTAACCAACTCTTGACGCAAAAGGCAGAAGCAAGTATCTTCTATGCAAAGCACAGACTGTTTGAAATGGGTGACAAACTAGGACGACTACTTGCATGCTTAGTAGCTGGTAGGCGTGACGTTAGGGCTATCTCCTCCTTAAAGGACGTAACTAGGAAAAATCATTATGAAACCAAAACGATGGTGGAGATAATGAAGAGCTTTTATGAAAAACTTTACACCTCAGAATCCACTACAACATCACATTGTATACAGAGTTTTCTAGAAAAGCTTAATCTCCCCTCCTTATCAGAAGCAGATAAATCCACTCTTGGAAGACCAATAACCAGTGAAGAGATAAATAATGCAATCAATTCTCTGCAGAACGGAAAGGTTTTATAAAAAATTATTAAACTCCATAGATGGACCTCTGCTAAGGATGTACCTTCATTCAATAGAGAAAGGTTCCCTACCAGGCTCATTATATGCTGCCAATATATCAGGATATATAATTCTTAAAAAGGATTAAAGATATATATCGAGTGTAGCTCATACTACCCTATTAGCCTGATGAATGTGGACAGTAAAATCTTTTCAAAAATATTAGCGACTTGAGAACTACTTGCCACTCTTAATCGGATCGGATCTGACCAGACAGGCTTTATTAAAAGCAGGAACTCTTATACCAATATGAGAAAATTACTTAACATCATTCAATGCAAATACTAATCAGGCACAAGGTCTTGTTATCTCACTTGACGCCGAAAAGGCATTTGATCGCGTGGAGTGGCCTTATTTATTCACCATCATGGAAAAATTTGGACTGGGGGAGGGGTTTATTAAACTCATTAAGCTGATATATTTTTCACCCAGAGCGAGTGTACTTATAAATAGTATAAAATCATCAGAGTTTAAGTTAGGGAGGTCCACTCGGCAAGGGGACCCTTTGTCCCTGCTTATTTTTGCTTTGGCCATTGAACCACTGGCAGAGGCTAATAGAAGCCATAACAGCATAGCGGGTTTCCAAATTAAATCCACATCATATAGGATTGCATTATATGCAGATGATGTTCTTCTTTTTCTCACCAGTCCAGATGAGTCCGTACCAGCTCTAATGTCTGTTATTCAGACCTTTGGATCCTTCTCTGGATACAAGATTAATTTTAGTAAGTCAATGGCCATGCCAATTGGATATGGTCATAACGTGCCAAACATACCAAACTTTCCATTCTTTTGGTCTACCTCAGGATCTCATACTTAGGTATTTCTGTATCCCAGAATATTAAGAATTTGTTGAGAAAAAATGTCAACACTGTACATAAAGATATCAAGAGCGATCTTAACAGGTGGATGGATTTGCCAATTTCTTGGATGGGCAGAGTTAACTTGTTAAAAATTAATGTTCTACCTCGGCTGCTTTATCCCATGCAGAGGTTGCCTCTGTTTATTTCTAAAAAGGTAGCAAGAGAGGTTGAAAGGGACTTCTCAAAGTTCATTTGGCAAAAGAAAAAACCCCGGTTAAGTATGAAAACTTTACAGCTCCCAACAGATAGTGAAGGTCTAGCATTCCTTAATATTATATTATACAATTGGGCCTGTCATAGTAGATTCATATATGAATGGGTTCACTGCTATTTAAAGGGAATAGAGGACCCACTCGAATCATGGGCTTGTGTCCCATTTAGATTACATGAGGAACTCACTAGTAAAAAAACTGCCCTTCCAAAAGTAAGGGACAATCCAATACTTCAACGCTCTATTAAGCTCTGGCATGACATGTATAGGTTTGTAGGCAGAAAGGGTGCCTTTTCCTATTTGACTCCACTTATGGGTAACAGGGACTTCCTATCTGGTGTTGAAAATGTTGTATTCTGCACTTGGCGGGAAAGGGGAGTGAGAGTGGTTGGAGATTTGTTTGATGATAATAATGTCCTCATGTCCTTTCCACAAGCACAAAACAGATTTGGACTCAAACAGAAAACATTGAAGGGACCAATTGATAAGTTCATAATTCATTTTACATTGAATAAAGGTCTTATCACATGCATTTATAATAGCCTTCAGAGTTGTAACCAACACAATGTTGATGGGCTTGTGAAGTGATGGGAGGAGGACCTTCAAAGTGTATATGATGAAGATGCTTGTATTCGGACCAATCACTCTCTGTTTCTCAGCAATAAATTTAAAGAAATACAATATAAGATACTTCATAGACAGGGCACCTCATGTTATGAACAAAATTTACCCAAATAGATCACCATTGTGCCTTAAATGTAAGTTAACAAGTGGGACATATATATACTGCTTCTGGAGCTGTCCAAGAATATCAAAGTTCTGGTCATGTGTATCTAAGGAAGTGACAGCAATATTTAAACACAGCATATGTAAAGATCCGGGCCAGTTTCTATTGGGACTGCCACCTTTGAATAGAGTTATGGATGTGAAAAGAACAAAATTACTCAATAAACTCTTATTTTTGGCCAGAAAATGTATATTATTTAATTGGATTAGTGAGAAATCTCCCACTGTAACTCAGTGTTAGAAAGAAATTTTTAGAGTTTTACTAAGTTCCAAATTAAAAGGAAATGACAACACTTTTATGGACATATGGTGACCTCTAATGGATTACCTGCCTAAAGATCTAAGTGAAATTATCCAGAGGGGAAACACTGGTTTAGAAGGTGCCAGACTGAGCAGACCGGTGATAAGAAATATTTCTTAATAATATATTTTTTAAAAAACTTGTTTTATTCTTTTCTTTTCATTTTCTACTTT